GAAAACTGTTGAATTTGAAATGTTGGCCTCCCATGGTTAGTCCTGACTTGGGCCATCAGCAGGAGGCCAGTCCTTGTGCTACTCAGAGTCCCAGCAGGAGGCCAGTCCAGAAAGAAGAAAATCTTGTATGAAAGAAACGCATGATTTTAACAAATGAATTACTCAAAGTTATTGCACATCTTTGCGATATGGATATTGCACTTGCTATTATCACAATCATTATATTTGTATTGTTATGTCTTGCGGCCCTCCTTCCTGTGCCACTCGGGCAACCTGAGTGGGGGCGCTCTCTGCAGTGATATACAGCTTTACTCACTCATCAATAACCTTTCATCTATTCCTACTCCACACCTTTATATTGTAATGATTATTTGTAATGATGGTCAAATATTGGTTGTCTCTGGAGGGAGAACAAGAGAATGGAGATTGCTAAACCTTTATAATGAGGTTCAAAAAAGACAGAACAGGGACATTGCTCGATCAGCATATCATATTTCCCAATTATAATAAATGTTGTGAGAGTATATTAATTAGGAGACCGGTCAAACAGAATCGATACAAGCAGATGAATATTACATGCGAGTGGTCGAACCAATCCTGACTATGATTGACATAAATTGGATTTGTGCTGGTAATTATCACTTAGCAAGGCGAGTCACTTTCCCAGGCTAATTTTAGAGTCCTTATACAACTTTGATTTAACACGTCATTCAAGCTTAGTACAGCATTTCGAGGTTGTAAGTTAATTGATAATAGCACAGCATAATCTTAAAAGTATGTGCAGCACGATGTGTGTTAACATTTACATGTATGTCATGGTTAGAATGTAAGGCCTTAGTAAAAACGTTTAACTTCACAGCAGATGCCCTTAAATAGTGAATGATGCACACAAACAGTTCATGTTTTTGTTTATCGAAATTTGTGTTCTCTTACCTAACATTTGTTAAAGAAATTGTTTTACAAGCACGACCTGCATCAAAATTTGGTGTACCTCAGTTTCAAACCATCATTAATGACTTTTTACCATCAGTTAATAACGTTGGTAAGACACAAAGCTAAGTAAATGGTGTCATTTTTGTTGTTGTGCGGTTAAGGTGACTGAAAGCCACATCACTGCGCGCCGATGATATGCATGGGTCATATTTTGGGCTGACGAGTGTGTCAGCATGAATTGTGAACCAGGCGGAGTGGTTAGCACTTTCACTTCACAGCAAGAAGGTCCTGGGATCGATTCCACCTTCAGGCCTTTCTGCGTGGAGTTTGTATGTACTTCCCGTGTGTGTGTAGGTTTCCTCTAGGCTTCCACCGGGTGCTCAGGTTTCCTCCAGGTGCTCCTTTTCAAACCATATCGAGGGGTCTATAGAAGACAAACGTCAAAAAGTCTATTTTGCTTGATCACTGTATGTCCTTTAAAGTTCTTGTCATTACATGAATCCACACAAACCTCATCCGAAGTTGCCTGATAAGAAAAACACCTCTTTTATTTAACACAAAACAAAAAAAAAAAAATCTAGTTTGTTCACATCATTGCGATCTGATACATAATACAAACACATAATATAATCATAGCGACGCCATTTCCCACAATTACTAGTTTTGAATAAACCACCAGTCATTTGACATAAAATGACACCCTTCACCTTTCCCAAGTCCACATAATAAAACATTGAGCTCAATTGGCCTTATTGCTAAAACATAACCTCATACCCAAGTATTGAATTAGCTCTGGTCCAATACACCTTCTAATGAGAGCTTCGTTTGAAGCTGTAAAGACCGTATCAAAGCTCCATGATGATGACCATACGAACCAAGTTGGGATATAATTATTTGAAAGGATGTCATGTCATGGAGAAGTTGGGAATGTGCTTTTTACCTTGATGTACTGAATTATGCTTCATGCCCTGAGGTTATCCAAGTGAATTAGCAGACATCAATAAGGAAAGAACATCTCCCTTCTCCCAAAAGTGATCATTATCAACATCACTATTGATCTGGCTATTGATGCATAGCTAATTGTTTTTTTTTGTTTCTGTTCTTTAATTAATTCCAGTTCTGACCTTGGCAAGGTTGGAAATAAAACTTGCGCGCCAACGGTGTAAGTTGCCGTTATCCGATCGTGTTTGAAATTGTCAAGGGGCGATGTCTTTTCGTCCCTGCGTAAAACTCCGCGCAATATTGACTTCTTCTCACATGACAGTATGGCAGGTATAGAATAATGATGAAGATTATGCAGAATTAAGTGCGCATCGGATCGCGGACATAAAAAATGCATTTGAATCTGTTAATTTACTTCTTCCACTCGTTGCGCCCTCACGTAAAACCAAGGTCTAACTTCATGAATATGTCAGGCCGTTTGCAGCGAACGATGGAGGAGCTGGGCTTTTGGACGGTTTGGAAAGTTGATTTCAAAGTTTGCGGACTTGTCATTTGACATTCCATACAGATGTTATGTGTTTTTTTAATTAATCGAGCGAGTTGAAACCGTGCCCAGCGTAATGAACCCTTCTTTCATTTGTTATTCATACAGCTCTGATCAATGTTGCTCCCAAGGATCCAAGTGGAACGGCAGAGACTTTCTTTGGAAATGTCAATAGTTATTTATTTGCGCATTTATATTAATAATACGGTTTGATTATAATGCACCTTACATTTCCACGAAACCTCAAAGTGCTGCAGTTCAAACTGTATAGTTGAGCTACTATATTATACTATTTAGAAGCCGTAGTAAAGGTTTTTGTTGGTTTGTTTCTGGATAAGTTGCAGACTCCAGATACAGTATAGAGGTTTGAGAGCTTCCTATTAAAGCAGGGATGTCCAATCTATATTTTACTCATTCATTTATTCATTTTCATTCATTCACATTAGTCAATTTTTGGGTCAATTCACCAGGCAAGGTCCTGATTCTCCTGCAGGTGGCGAGTCCAAGGGAGGATGGCTGCTCAGTCAAGGCCTTGATCTTTCGGGGGTGTTCAGGGGAGTCACTGGGCAAGTTTCCAGTGACACAACAACAGCAGACATCAGTGGGAGTAAGTGACAGGTGTAAGTGTCTTGTGGGGGCCATAATCAGACCAATGCGCCCTCAACTGAGCCACTGTCGCCCTATTTTATCAACTTGTCAACATATTTTCTTGCACACATCAATAGTGACAAGTTGATATGAGCTGCTATGTAAATATGTTTCTCAAGCAAACAACCGAGTCCTTTATTGCATTCTAAACTTTGAACCAAATATGAATAGTAATAATAGTAAACCTAAAAATATTATTGTCAGTCTGCAATAAGACGCCATTTATACTTTTGGTCCAGTTTTACTTATTTTGTTCAGGAAAATCTAAACGTCAAGTTGGTAAAAATACCTTCATAATGTAACATACAATTTCAAAAAATAGAAAAAGGACTAACATGGCCTATAAACAAACTTAAAATGATGGATTCCTTGACATAACAACAGGGGGGACTGATTACACTGGTGAGAGGGTACATGGAGCAAAATATGTTGAGAACCACTGATCCGAACCACAAATCTTGATCTAAATTGTTATCCTTTGAAGACAAATGCTCTTTCTCCCTCAGCTTCTCTGAGCCTGCCCTGGGACGTCAGTATGATAAGAGCAGGCCTCTAATGGAGCTCTGCCACGCCTGTAGTTAGGACGTCCTGTACAAGGTGTGTGCTCCCTGCTGGTTTTTGGGACGTCATCCAGAAATAGTGCAGTGACGCGAGTGGCACAGCATCAGCAGGGTGACTCATGATGACCTTAGCTTGAGTCAAGGCTGGTGGAAATGTAAAAGTGATTCAAAAACCCACTAAAGTATGACCATAGGGGCAGTGTGGACGGAACAATGGGTCTAAATATTTTATGTTTTGATTAAGTGTTTAAGTGTTCGTTGACATGTACTGTCCCCGTCAAATAGATGAATAGATGCAAAAATACAAATACAAACTAAGCTGAAGTGAGGTTACACAAATCAGTCAGCAGAAATGGAAGGAGAACCTTTAACCGAAAGTTACAGAAAAGTGTCTTGCCCATGGACATACTGACATATACATTTACAAACTGGAAGCCTACCTGTCCCATTATACACTTCTGTTCTATCTGGGGTACCCGATGTAGTTCATAAGTAGCATTTTTAATTTGCCAATCAGTAAAATGTGAACAAATCAGACCCCAACACCTTTTTAGAAAACATGGTATCTTTTGCATACTTGCAAGAAAGAGCCCTGTGAGTCACTACTTGACTCTTTGGGCTGAGAGCTGATTGGCTGAGCTCTGTTTTTCAATTTTGTCTGAAAAAGTAAACGTGCGTGCAGAAAATTAGCGATAAGACCAAAGTGTTTTGAGAGTGAGGGACAAGTTACATGGATTAGATTACGTATTTACATGGATTAGATTACGTAGTTCCATTGTGTGGTTTGAATGTTAGGTACCCCAGCTTTAAGCTATAATAATATTGATGATAATAATAATAATAATACATATCATTTGTATGGCACCTTTCAAACCACCAAAGGTCACCTTACAAAGGGTGCAAAGTTAAAAGCAAAAACAATTAAAAGCATAGTTAAAAATGGATAGTGAAATGTAGGGTCATAGTGAATAGTGGCCAGTCTGAAAAGGAGTGTTTTAAGTGCGGTTTAGAATTTTAAGTGCAGTTTAAGTGCGGTGGGAGAGTGTTTATTGTTAGTGTTGAGGAGTTCATAGACACTATGAACTCCTCAACACGAAATGTAAAGCAGCGAAATGTAAAGCAACACGAAGCTAACACATCCTGCTACGAGCGAAGGACTTAATCCACATTTACCTACCATCTTATCACCTCAGAACATCTCTCCCGAGCCCAACCAACTTCTCTTCAACTCGTCTCCCCAAATCATTTCACCCAATTCCATCTTTGCGCTCAGTCAAACACCTGCGCTCCCATTTACCGCGCGTGGATGTCAGCGCTTGAGTCTAATTAGCACGCACTGCTCTGTTTGCGCTGCTTTCCCGCCCGCTCCGTGGATGGTGGGGCGGCGGGCGGAGTGTGCACTGCTGCCTCTTGCCTGCCTGCCGAAGGTGTGTTTGTGCTGTTATGCCCTCTGGCTTGGCTGCCAGCTTACTCCCAGTGATCTGAGCCAGGAGGCAGACTGCGCGAGGCATACCGATCACCTTGGCCAGAGCCGATCCTTTGAGCTCTCTCTGGCATCTTTCTCCCTTCTGCCAGCTTCCTCCTCGCCTGCCTCTTCTGAAGTTGACAACAAAGACATCCTCCGGGTCCTGCTTGATGTGAGACCCACTCTTGATCTTTTTTCCCTATGTTTTTGTACCTTATAGTTGCGCTACTTTCATATTCCGCTAGCACAATATTTACACACCAGAAGACAAAGAAACAGGGGTCTTTTCATGTCAGGCCCCTGCCAACATGTTAATCACCCGAGGAGCAGCGCTGGTCAGGGCCGGGCCCGCAAGAAATGGGCATTAGCAAGACATGGAAGCACTCCAGCTTCCAGGTTTCCTTCTATCACGCTGGGATCTGAGGGCTTTTGTAACTGTTTAACATTTGACAGGAAGGGAAAATAATATTAATATTAATACGTGCCAAAATTGAATGGAAATATTGTGTATGTCCTGATTAATGCTAAGGTTAAGCATTTCAAGCTATAATTTAGAAAATGCTCAGTGAATATCTAAAATTAAATGACCAATTAGCCTCCACAGCTGGCTTTTCTCAACAAGGAGCAGCAGCTCTACTCTGAGCTCCTCCCGTGTGACTTATTTTCTCACCCTATCTCTAAGGGAGTGCCCAGCCACTCTGTAGAGGAAACTAATTTTGACGGCTTTTATCCATGATCTTGTCTTTACGGTAAATACCCAAGGCTCATGACTTCATTTCATAGGTGAAGGAGGGAACGCAGATTGACCAGTAAATCAAGAGAAAATTGACTCAGCTCAACAGTCCAACACAGCAACACACGCTGCACAGACTCATCTGTCAATCTCGTGAAAAAGACCTGGGTAATAAGGGCGGAGAGGGCAAGGCACCTTTTTCTGGTCAAGCACCATAGCCTTGGACTTGGAGGTGCTGATTCTTCACTATATTTGAATTTCAAATATTTCTTATCATTTTCTTCCCAAATAAATGAACAGAAAAGTACTCTTACAGACGCTCTTTTAAAACACTGCTCTTTCTGGACCTACCTGTTATATACACTCACGCTGCTAGATACTTGACATTTCTCATCTTCGATTTTCATGATAAGAGTGATCGCATGAATCTGATGTCATTTGACTTTTTTTTTTTTTTCACAAATTGCACTTTTCCACTACAACCTTTTTTTAGATCACAGAACCCAATTCACCCATATTGCTTTAAAAACACGAGGCAGTTAAGAAACACAACATAAACAAAATATATATTTGAGTCTATGACACGATTGATGATGTGATTGATTCGTAATGCAACCAAACCAGAGAACCATGTGACATCTGGCTAACCGTACAAAATCAAAAAGCAAGTTGAAACAGCACAAAGCCTCTCTGCGCTGCACCCATCAATCCAGTGCACTTGAAGTCACTTGAGCGCAGAGCATTCCACATTCCTTGGGATCTGTGTATGTGCTGTCATTCGTGCCACTGGATCCAATCAAAGCGTGCGGGCCTTACACAACCTCCTGACTGCTCCTTCTTTGGTGCCCCCGCCCGCTCGCCCCTCACCCCCCCACCTCCAGCCCCCTGCCTCCGCCAGACAAATCTCCAAAGAGCTAATTAGTGTCGGAGCGCGGTCCAGGAACAGCCCACGGAGCTGCACGTGGCGGGAGAGGAGGCGAGAAGGAGACGCTTGGTTTGTCGGTCAGGCTTTGACAGAGGGGTGACATAGACAATAAAAGCAAAGAGGACTGGAGCAGGCGAGATGTCTTCTGCAGGAGCAGGGCCACACGACTGAGATGTTCAGCTGCAGTTGTTTCATGTGAATGGCCCTGTTAAAGTAGCAATTTGTAAGATTTTCATGTCAAGTCATCATTAAATGGCCCTAATCTGTCAAAAGGCATTAACAAAACATACTCTTTTCAAATACTTCTTTGACTGATACAGTAGTTCAGTCAAGCTATTTGGATTTCTAAATAATTGTTATGGGACCTCGAAATTAACACCCTCCATTGCTTTACCCATCAACAAGTCCGTGATCCGGGTTGCCATGTCGAGCTAACTCACTGATAAAGTGAGGCCGCTGAATTAAAAAAGGTCTTGTTATGATTCTCAAATCATTAATGACAAACAAGGCATAAAACTAGGATTTCTATCTTGTTGGATTCGTCTGCATATCTGGCAACCTGAGTCAGGGAGAGTGCAGTACCATTTTTGGCCAATCTTTTACATACTGCTCCTTTAAGTGAAGTACTTTTGTGTTTGCCATGTGATATTCAAACATATTTTAAATGGAACAGTTTGAAATATGCATGTTTTGTGTAACTTTCAAACCCACAAAAAACAATCTAACTATTATAGTTCCTTGCTCTCTAAACATTGAAGTTCTATCATTAGTTTTCACATGCAAGTATTTGCATGTTGTCCGTCAAAGGTAACTAATAACATATATCTAGTTCCTGGCTGCCAACAGTTTCCATCTAGTATTCATATGTATTTGTTTTTGGCCTCTTTCACATCTTTAGTTCAGTTTTTTCAGACAGAAGAGTGACAAAGAGAGGACCAAATTTTATAATGAGAAGACGACATACTTTTACAAGACTCTTTCTGCTGGGACAAACACAATATATTATTTAATGAAGACATTTGTTTAACTAGGAGTCCAAGGTGGCAGCACATTTTGTCAGACTATACCCATTTTTGTATGCAGTTAATATCGCTGCTGTAGTAAGAGCCTAACTTCGCTTGAGGATTGGCTCTGGTTTTAGTTAATGTGACAACCCAGTGAGACAAAAAAAAAACAACTCACACACGTTGACATTAAGTGAAACACGGCAACCTCAGCAGGGAATCAACTGGTCAAGAGTTCGGGAGGTGGGTCTCATTAATGAATTTTTTGTCAGGACGTTATGTCAGTGAGGTCAGTGTGATTTCACTTGTATAACTATAAGTATGGAGGCTAATGTCCTTTTTTGTAATCTTAATCCTTCTTCATTAAAGCTCCCAGACCCAGGAGACATTGGTGGTCCCTCAGTTGACCTGGGATTGCCTCTGGAATGCCCAGGGATCCCCCCCCCAAAAAATACTAAAATTATGAATGGAACAATAAAAGCTAGGTACTCCAGCTTTAATGCTATAATGGAGACTCCACTCCCCAGTGTATAATCTGCCATATGGCCTTTACTAACAGAATGCAAAGTGAGGAGTACATTTATTTGCAAAAACACATATCTCCATTTTCAGAAAGTTGTATCGTCCTCTGGCTACAATCTATTGTCATTGAAAGGGTGAAACCATTTTTGTATGGCACTAAAACAGATCTGGGATTTTTAAAATTACCTGACATTAACGACAACGACCACAAAATAATGTTGTTTAGCTGTTAGCTGGGTAACTCCAGACACCCTCTGCATGACACAATGGCTGCTTAGAGGAGTAATGGTAGCAACAGGCTTATATCACTGCGCTGCTGAACGGAAAGAGAACCTTTGGCTGTACAACCTGTATGAGTAAAAATGTGCACTATTGTTAGGTAGTTAGTTGAAAATGCTAGTTAGTTCGAAATGTTTATTATGCATGCACTTTGTTTATAGGGATGTGTTTTCTGCTGCTGGACACATGAATAGATACTTAATTGATCCTTCTCCGGGAATCAATAAAGTATCTATCTTTCTATCTATCTAAAGCGAAAACTTTTTTGTCAATAACACATTTACAGAGATTTGTAAGTAAAATATTGTGAACCAATAAGGCCATAACACGCTGTCTTCCTCTTATTATAAAACATGTTATCTTCTGCATACTTGTAAGAGAGAGCCCTGTGAGTCACTTGTTGATGCTTTGAGCTGATTGGTTGAGTGAGGGTGATCCTCACTTTTTAACTTTTCTATCTGATTCAAACTGAACCACAGTTTTGATAGAGGCCAAACAAAATCTGTGTGGGAAAACCAGAGATAAAAATAGTTTTTTTTAAGAGAGGAACTACATGTAGGGACATTTATCAGTTCCATTTTATTATAGTTTGAAAGTTAGGCACCCCAGCTTTAAGTACAGAAATAGTCCAGTTTTGTAATGATAATATTACCTTTTTGCGTTTGCCAGTTCTTACAGTTGTCCTGCATGAAAGCAATATTACTTTAACCATGTTTCAGTAATTCTGCATATATTATATCCCAGATTATTCAGAGGTCAGTACATATTCTCTTCTGTACTTCCCAGAGTATATGATCTGCGTGCTAAGACAACATTGTAAAGGTGTCATGCCCCATGTGGTAAAGAAAGCAGTCATCAGTTTTTGGAACCAGAAGCATGTTGGCAACGGCCTCTTCCTTCACTGGACACACACATGCTCCGGTTCTATTGGCAGGATGGCTGCAGCTTAATCTCTGGTTGGTTTTGTGTGTCTGGACCTATTTGGCTGTGTGCTCCTTTGTAACAGTGTCACATGAATGCAACAAATTATATGATGTCAGAGATGACGCTTTCATGAGATTTCAGAAACTCAGAGTTATCTAAGTTCTCTTCTGACTTCCCAAAATCATCAGAGCCTTTTTAAGAAACTGGTGATGGTACACAGCAGCAACGACAACAACAATACAAACGTGTCACTGAATTATTATTTTGTTTTGTTCGTTAGACACAGGCACAGAAACCTTAAATGCTGTGACCTGAGAAATGCATTAGCAAATATGTTGTTCCTTATATTTAAAGTCATGATACATATACATTTGTTAATGCTAACAAAAATCTTGTGGCCATAAATATAAATATGTTTAATTTGCAAAGTGTGAAAAGACATCCTTGTTTAGTTTGTCTCAATGCTTTCCATCCTTTCACAATCTGACACATGTCACTGTGAGCAAACGCGGGAACACAGGGATTTTTGACCCGGACCCAGAGATTCTGAGTTAAGTCTCGTATTCCCTTTTTGGTCATTGAACTGATTTGCACAAGACTTGTACAGGAACAACTCTACGATATAGAATAATACATCTGGGAGAAGCTTTCATTTAAGAGAGATACCTGCCATAGGGTAACTGTATTGTTACATTTTATCACATAGTAAAAGCAGCACTGCATGAAATGAAGTGGTAACATACTGTAGTGGATTGGTAAAAGTCATTGTCTGAGATTTCAAAGTACTTGGATGGTTGTTGAATGAAGGAATATGTGAGAAATTGAATGCACACAAAACTTATTCCATGATAATAAGTAAGTAATGTTTGCGCATTTTACAGACCAAGTTCACCCAAAGCGCTTTACAATGTGAAAAAAAAGTATATTTGGGGAGGGTCTAAGGACAATTATGGACATTTCAGAGAGATCTGGCAAAAGCTGTTGTGTGTACCTGATGCACACTGGGGTAGTCATGCACAATTTTTTCCAATGTGGATTTTTACTAAAAATGGCAAATAAATTCTTGAATTGACATTTAGGGGCATTGGTCATCCCGCTTCCTATGGACCAATGGATCCTATGTGTTTGTTTTGATTGTATTTCCTATGTTCTAAATGTATGATTCTCTGTTGTGTCATTGGTGAAATATACAACTTTGTAAATTCCTCTGGGACGATTGTTTTGATTAAGGCTATACAAAAAATGAATAGAAGAATGAATAGTCTGAATTTCAGATGCAGGTGGTTCATCCAAGGTTTATCCCACCTCTTTTCCAAACCGTGTGTTATTCTGTTATTTTGATCCGTAAAAATTAAATTATTGGACAAGGATTACAAATGTGCAAAATGTGTTGTCAACTATTCAAGCTACACTTTCACCTTTCTCTATGTTGTATGAATTTTACCATTATCCGCCGTTCAACTTTGAGCACAATGGCCTTCAAATACCACCCGCATCAAGACACTTTATTTCTTTTCTGTCTCATCTTAAATACGTTTTACTCCTCAAAGACAGTGGGAGTAATCTGTAGCAGCAGACCTCAAACTCCAGGGAGGAACACCCAAGCATTTCCCCCTGGCAGGTATCGAGAATGGTTTAACAGCACGTACGTGAGAACAAAAGCACGCATACGATGTCGGCCCCGCACCGCAACTTGGTCAACACACCGAGAGGTCAGCCAGGCGCCATTATGATTTCATGGCGATTATTTATTTATTTTGTCAAGTAAAGCCAATCAGAATGCCTGGGAGCGAGCCGGGAAGCAAACAGGGATAATTAGCATCAGTGGGAGAGGTGGCGTTTCCTTGTACTCTGGCCTCCACGTGCTTTCATGTGTGGAGAGGTGTGCAGCGGTGCAGATAAATATTGATGGGGGCTGTCCTATGTCTGAGAAGCTCTGTCCGGCTTTGTTAAGGTTTTTTTTCTCTCTTAACACACACACACGCTGCCACTCCAAACAAACTGGAAAACATTCAGAAACTTTGTATTGTTTGGACCATAAAATGTTTATTTATTATAGTATAGGATAATATATAATTGGTTTCATCCAAGTTTCATCACATACTGTATAGGTGAAACTCGGAAATTTCGAATATCATTCAAAAGTCCAATTATTTCTGTCTTTCCACGTACAATGGGCTGTTGTGATGTAGATAATTAGCTCACAGCTTGGAAAAAGCTAAAATAAAATAAAAAAAGGGCTTTAACCCTTCTCTGGTGGTATAGGGATAGGGCATACCGATGGCATTATTACCCTTCATACTTGTTTCACCATATCTACCAATAGATAATATTTTACTTTCTAAAACATGAAATAAACATTGCGTAAATATTATT